AAGGGGTTGGCGTATATCAGCCAATGTCGCGAATTGCGCGACAAGCTCCTTCGATGCGGAGGATCAATCTCTGAAGACGCCTTCGTAACACTCGTCATCGGTGGCCTCGGTCCTCAGTGGCGCGCCACCAAAGCAATTCTTCGAGCACACGGGAGGATCTCCGAAGCGGCACTCTGCGCCGAAATCCACGCCGAGCAGCAGGATATGGACCTGCAAGAAGAAAGGCACAAGAAAAGGGCATTAGCACCGGAGTTCGCTTTCCACACTCAGCGACGACACAACAACTACAACAACCGACAGCAGCAGCCGAAGTCAGTACCTCCGTTTTGTCACATCTGCAAAACATCAGGACACCCCCGCACGCATTGCCCGTCTCGTCAGACAACACCACAGCGACAACTGCGGCCTTCAAGCTCACAAGTTACTTCAACGCAAGCAAGTCCGACAACAACGATTCAAGCTTCAACGACTTCAACTGGACAACCTGCACAAGGAGCAAGAAACATAGTCAACTGCATGGTAAAGATAAACGACTCTTGCATAACAGAGTCACCACCCCATTACTCACCAGAAGAGGAGCTCGACAACAGGACGCCTCGCCGCGAATCACTCCACCCGAATCCGACTTACGCCGCCATCGCTCAAAGTGAACTGTCCGGCCAAGACACTTGGTTCTTGGACAGTTGATGCGGGCAACACATGTGCTCGTCCGGGCGCTTCGTACAACGCGAACATCGACTCCAACGAGAAGTGATCATCACGGTCGCCAACAATCAAAACCTGCGCACACGACGACAAGGAGTGGTACAGCTTCAGTCAAGAGAAACAAATGTCATACTGCACATGTCTAAGGTACTCATTGCTGAAGGACTCGGTTACAACTTACTGAGTGTTAGCCAGCTGATGGCGAAGGGGATTCACTTGGAAGCCGACAGCACCACCCAGGAGTTCAAGCTATACCACGGGAGAGGCGGTCTCTACATCGGGAAGGCAGTGCTGAAGAACAACGTCTTCGTCCTCGACTTCGTTCCTGACCTGGGCACTGCAGACAGCGACGCCATCGTGAATTTTACTGATTGGACACACCCTCCTGATCTCGACCCCGACTTCAGCCCGGGAGGTTTCTGGTACTCCCACACATGAAGCAGAACGAACAAGAGCGTTAGCGACGATTCAACAAACATCAGAAGCAGAGACAACATCGGCAGCAGCAACAACATCGGCAGCAGAGACAACATCAGCAGCAGCAGGAACAACGACACCGGTCACAGTCGACGAAGCACCACCAACACCCGCGCAACAGCTGAATCCGACTCAACGTGAAGTCCACCGAAGCGCCAACTTCGTCGCCAGTTTTTACTCCAACTCCGACGCATACCAACGTTCACCCGGACACCGCGCCTCTGAAGAAATCTGGCACGCACGCACAGGACATCCAAGCAACACGGTTTTAAATAACACGATAAGAGCAGGAGTTCTTGACAAAGACTCCCTACTTCTACCCGATGGCAGAGAACTCCAGAAGGCACGAGGGACTTGCCTTATATGTCCCGAAGCTGACTTACCTCATCGACCGTTCGCTCCACATCACAACCCGAGCGCTCCAGCGTACGCACCACTCGAAAAGGTCTACAGCGACATCCTCTACAATCGCGAACCAGGACAAGTTAACTACAACTACACCATCACCTTCATCGACGCCGCCACTCGATATGTCTGGCATCGTAACCTACCCAGCCGCGACATGGCACTCGCAGCATTCGCCGCCTGGCTAGCGATAGCAGAGAGAGAGTCTGGAACGCAACTGAAAAGCTTCCAGTCAGACGGAGGTGGCGAGTACACCTCTCAGCGCTTCAAGCAGTTCCTGGCGGAAAGGGGGATCAAGCAACTCCTCTCCCTTCCCTACGCACATCAGCAGCAAGGTGTCGCAGAACGAATGAACAGGACTCTGCAGAACAGCATGCGCAAACTGTTACGTGGCATGCGGCTACCCAACCACCAGTGGCCAGCAGCAATGGACCATGCTGTCATGCTGCACAACTTGTTGTCGTCGTCGTCACTCCCGAACAACGCATCACCGCATCTGCTGTGGACAGGGAAGCAGGGCAGCACAAAAATGTTACGAGTCTTCGGGTGCATGGTACAGTACAGACCCCCAGAAGCACGAGCGGGAAGATTTTCGCAACGGGCACAGTGGGGACTACACCTCGGCATCGAGAAAAATTACAACGCGTGGAGAATCTTCGACGTCCACACAAAAGAAACAGTAGCAGCACGAGATGTGATCTTCTACGAACGCCTCACCCTTCAGACGTACCTCGCCAACTTGCACGAGAATCGGGACCTCACCAGTGGTTTTCGTGGTGACCGAGCCTTCGCGTCAGCAGCGGATGAAGCAGACTGGGATGAGCAGAACGTCGACAACGCATCGGAGGAAGCCGGACCTCTTCCGTACTGCTCCGTCAACGTGCCCATGGATGAGGATAACCCTCGCGACAGTAACAACGCCGAAGTCTTCTACCATTTCGCCGACAATGGTTATGTATCACCTGCGACAGTCAACACCAACGAAGCAGAAAGGGTAGGGCCGAATTTCATACCCGACCCAGAAGCGGGAGACGAAGCAGCTTATCCCGAGGATCCAGAACTCCCTCGATACTCACAGACTGGGCTGCAAATCCTTGGTCTCGTCACCGCAGTCCATGGCGCCGCCATTCCTAAGGAGCCTGCGACGGTTCAACAGGCTCTGGGGGGGGAACACAGGGAGAAATGGCGTGAAGCCATGGACAAAGAACTGAAGGCACTGGAGGAGCGCAACACCTGGAAAATCGTTCCTATCGGCGTAGCACAAAACAAGACTATCCTTACCGGGAAGTGGGTCTTCCGTGTGAAGACGAAAGCTGACGGCACCATCGACAAATTCAAAGCTCGCTGGGTCATGCGCGGCTTTGACCAGGAGCACGGAAGAGATTACACCGAAACCTTCGCTCCGGTCAGCCGTCACACCTCACTCCGAATCCTCATCGCCGTCGCCGCCATGAAGAAAAAGAAATTGCGACAAATCGACGTCGCAAACGCATTTCTCTACGCACCTGTAGATGCAGAAATCTTCGTCGAGCTCCCGCACGGCTCCCACGGCGAACCCAACCGAGTCTGTCAACTGCTTAAATCGCTCTACGGGATCAAGCAGGCACCGCGACTGTGGCAGCAGTACCTACACGCCCGCCTCATCCGCATCGGTTTCAAACAACTCCCGCATGACCAAGGCATGTATCGCCTCACAAAGGGAAGCGACTACGTTCTCCTAATCGTCTACGTGGACGATCTCCTCTACATTGGGTCAACCGACGGCATCGCCACGTGGTTCGAAGGGGAGCTTCAGAAAGACCTCACGCTTACGGTCTCTTCTACCGTTACGCAGTACCTCGGGCTCAACATCCGCGAGGAAGAAAACGCAATCTATCTAAGCGCCGAGAAGTACGCCGACACCATCGCAAAACACTTCGGCCTCACACCAAGCGCCATCTCCACGCCTTACCGCTACACGTCAGGAACCGAAAAGGGACGATCTACTCTACTCAAGCCCGCCGGCATACGCGACTATCAGAAGAAGCTCGGATGTCTCCTCTTCGCAGCAGTCACATGCCGTCCCGACTTATCCTACTCCGCGAGCCAGCTCGCCACCTATCTCAAGAAGCCTGAAGCAGAGCATCTGGCGGAACTCGATCGCGCTCTCCACTATTTCGTCAGCACCGCGACGATCGGATTAACCTATCACAAAAACGCAACTACACCGACCAAGCTAATCGGCTACGTCGACGCCGATCACGCCGGCGACACCGATAACAGACGCTCACGCACCGGCTATGTCTACCGCCTCGAACCTATCGGTCCTATCTCCTGGCAGTCGAGTAAGCAGGAGTTAATCGCACTGTCTTCAGCTGAAGCGGAATATATTGCACTCTGCTCAGCCACCAAGGAGGGACTTTACCTTCGCGAACTACTGGAAGAAGCGAAGCTAGCCGAGTTACCCAGCTTCACCGTGTTCTGCGACAACCAGTCAGCATTTCGCATCGCCAACAAGAACGGCTTCGCAAACAGGACGAAACACATCGCCTTGCGCTATTTCTTCGTGAAGGACAAGATCGAAAAGGGGAAACTCGATCTGTCATACTGTCCAACATCTGAGATGGCAGCCGATTACTTGACCAAGAAACTCGGAAAGCAGAAGTTCGAATACTGCATGATGCTGACTGGACAAGGCCACGTCACCTGCGACGACACTCCAGAAGCGAAGGGGAGTGTTGGAAACAATAAGTCTTAGTGCGCTTCTGTCGTGTCGAAACCCAAGACACTAGCGAAGCAGTCCGAATCGAAGCATCGAGTCAAACCTCGGAGGTTAGGGTAACCACCTGGAGGTTACGAGAAAGTCAAAGGTCAGCGACCTTTGACTCGACAATTACAGCGCGGCAGTTAAGGACACACAACTGACTCGTTACAGAGAAGTTGCCCGAGTCGCACTGTATCGAATCGCAACAGCAATACAGTTATCTATCTATTCGTATTCCCTGTACCCTTATATAAAACCTTGTATTTGCTTGTATAATTTTAATCTACTTTGCTCTCACACACTAGTGCAAGGTCGGTTCACAAGTTTCTTTAAACGCTTCCGCTATTACAAGTTTCCTACCCAGAGTTATCCTTTGCAAAGATCCTTAAGGGCCTTCTCAGCCCAACAGTTCTGACAGCTGGTTCTGTCCTTTTGGACCCCCATCAAGTAGCGGAGCTGCTGCAGTCAGCTCTGCTACCCGACAGAACCATTGTGTGTGTATGGCCCGGATTCGAGATTAGCCAACCCTAAGAGTACTCTCAACCATGCCTTGGTGCCTTAAATGCCACTTGCCACACCAACCCCATCCTGGGGCACCTGCAGGAGACAAGAGGAAAGGTCAGTACCTTGGTGAAAGCAGTAAGAAAAAGCTGGAAGTTAACATATGTACCTTCTTAAAAAGGATGGTGAGAGCTTTGAGTGGATACTGTTGGTCGATAACCTCCACTGCTGAAATACCTGCAATGTCAGTCTGGGTGCGGAAGAAATAAAAAGCTGGAGGTTGAAATCACTACCTTGGTGGCCTTGAATGTTGAGATGCTTGACTTGTTGAAGATCTTGAGGGAAGAGTGACCATTGAAGGGCTCCAGTGGTGACGTAACTGCGGAAAGGAAATAAGGGACGTTAGTCAAGGTTAGAACGAAAAAACTAACAAAAAGCAATTCAAGAAGTTAAGAGCGCTACCTTGGGGACCTTGGATGTTGGGATGTGACCCCGATTGTTGAAGGTTTTGAGAGGCAAGAGGCTCTTGGAAGGGCTTTAGTGATGAGGCACCTGCAAAAAGAAAACAAGGAGACGTCAGTCAAGGTTGAAACAAAAAACGAACAAGAAACAAGTAAAGTCAATAACATTACCTTGGGGTCTTGGGCGTTGGGATGTTTAATTGTTAAAGGATTTGAGATGAGAGTAACTGTTGAAGGGCTTGAATGTTAAAACACCTGCAAAACGAAAACGAGAAGTCAGTCAAGGTTGAAACGAAAAAAAAAAAAAAAAAAAAAAAAAAAAAAAAAACGAGCAAGAAACAAGTATAGTCAATGACATTACCTTGGGGCCTTGGGTGTTGGGATGTTTAATTGTTAAAGGTCTTGAGATGGAAGTGGCTGTTGAAGGGCTTGAATGGCGAAACACCTGCAAAAAGAAAACAAAGGAAATGTCAGTCAAGGTTGAAACGAAAAACGAGCAAGGAACAAGTCAAGTCAAGAGCATTACCTTGGGGGGTTTGGGTGTTGGTTGTTAAATTGTTGAAGGACTTGAGAGGCAAGTGGGTGTTGAAAGGGCTTGAGTGGTGAGGCACCTGCAAAAGAAAACAGGGAGAAGTCAGTCAAGGTTGAAACGAAAAACGAGCTAGGAACAAGTCAAGCCAAGAACGTTACCTTGGGGGCCTTGGGTGTTGGGATGCTTGATTACTGAGTGTCTCAAGATGGAACGGGCTGTTGAAGAGTTTGAGTAGTGAGGTACCTGTGGAAAGAAAGCAAGAAGTTGTCAGTCAAAGTAAAAAAGTTGAACACCTAGCCACTGAAAGTTGGGAGCCTTACCTTAGATCCCAAGGCTTGAAATCTTGGAAGAAACTGGGTTTTAAACCCTTCTTCAATGGCTGCGGTGGTAAACCTTTCTTCAATGGTTGCCAGGTACGCTCTCTTGTTTTGACTGCGCAGCATTGAGAAGAAGGCCTGCCAAAAAAAGAGAAGGTTTGGGAAGAAAATGTTAGTACAAGTGGCACTCGGAGCTCCATGAAGAATCTAGGTATGTATCATGTGCATGATGCGGAAGGATGAGGTAGCATAAATGCATGGGCGCTTACCACCACATCCACATGAGCCAAGTACCAGAATACCTCAAGAGACCTGAGGATCTCACCAGAGAAGAGTACCTTATACCAAATACCTGACCAGCTAAGGGGGAATGGCTCATGCGGTGACAGTGGGTAGCGGTCATGCATACATGCATGAGAAGGTGCATAAAATGATGGAATGTGTAAAAGCTCGAAAATAGCAGAGAAACAAAAAGAAAAAACATGAATACCAGAGGCTCGAGAGTTACTTATCTTCAGATGTGTTCGCTCCAAATGTGCCTTCAAATGCTTGAAGTTGACTCTGCTGCTTCATGGTTGGCTCCAGGATATCGCTTAGATGATGGCTTGAAGGTAAGCCCGTAGCATTGACGTGATGAGCGCAGTGTTGCTCCTGATGGTGTCCAAGAAAGTAGAGCATCTGCCATTGAAAGACAGAGGAGGGAGAGCGGGTGAGTACATGCAGTCGTGGAAAGTCCAAACGAGCAAGAAAAGTAGGCATGTGCATGACGGGTGCTACAGGTACGTAGGAACAAAATGCAAAAGTGCTTAACACCACTGCTGTAAGAGCCAAGTACCAGAAATACCAAGAGAGACCTGAAGAACTCACCAGAGAGAGTACCTGATAAAAAAACCTAAGGGGAATGGCTCCTATAGCAATTGTGGTAAGCGCTCCAGCATGACAAGAAAACATTTACAGAAACGATGTGCGGAAAATGAAGTCGGGAGAACCGAGGAAAGATTGATACTTATCTGAAATCGAAGTTCAGATCCTGATTGTTGGTTGACGCCTTGGCTTGGTGTCTTGGCTTGGACGACTGGCTTCGAGCCTTGGTCTTAAGATGTTGAAACTCGGGGTGCTGCGGCCTTGCTTCTCCCAGGCGATTGAACCATCGTAACCGGAAACCTGCCAGCAAAACGAAGATACGAAGGCGTCTTAAGTTTACAGTAACGGAAGGATGCGATAAACGATTGGATGCGACGAAGCATGTGGGAGGGAGGGGGTATTCCAGCCAAAAAACGCACCGTAGAGCTCAGACTGACGGAGGCATCTACGCACGACTTAGCGACGCTGACACTAGGCAGACCTAGAGAGAAACGAACCGAGACCTAGGGGAAGAGACAGGGAGCTCTACGGGCGGATATTTGGCTGAAAAACAAACAAGCATAACGGATGAAAAAAAAGATTGCTGACACGATGAGGATGAAGTGAGTACTTAGCTGGAAAGAAGGATGATCGGTGTTGAACGTAGCCCGGAGGAAAGTCGGATGGACGTGCCGCCAGCGCCGAGATTAGTGCAGATCGGGGGTCCAATGGCTTGAATGATGCCAACCGCGGGTCATGAATGTTTTCATTCCACTGCACAAAGGTAAAAAACGCGAATGAGTACAAGTTGGTTGTGCAAACCGATTAAAACGACACGCTCAAGTCGAATGAAACGTTTGAAGGGAAACATGTGGGCTGACCTTGGAATGCTCGTTCATGCTAGAGCAGCTTGCGAAACATGGTCGGAACCTCCAAGCTTGCACCGGTAGAGGTCTAGTTGCACACGAGCAGATCTAGCACATACTGAGCTTGGAGATTGATGTGAACCGTAACGAAGAAACTCTTTGTTGAAATCATGAAGCTAGGAGAATGTGCGAGGCAAGAATGAAACGTTGCTATATATCATTGCCTAGCCACGGATCTACGACCTTTAGCAAACTGACTACACGGTAGTAGAGGAAAACAAGGGAACGGAAAAGCGAGGATCAACATCATTCATTGGACTGACTCCAAAGCGTCTCAGTTTCGAGTCGCATTTATCGGAATTGGCGCTAACATCAACGGCTACGCGGCGGCTCTATGAGAATTAGGACGCGCCGGGCGTTGATGCAAGGGAGAAATTGGCGATAAGTTGAATTTGAGAGGAATACTGCTGATATGTCAGGACCGGGTTGGCTGTCTGCGCCTGGGTGAGGGCTCTTGGGGGACATGAGTGGTGGTAGGATGTGTGTTGGACCTTGGGGTTGGAGAACTTGGTGAAGAGTTGATGATGTGCGGATGGGGCGAAGGATGTGGGACCACCACCGACTTCGTGAATGGTTCGTCAAATCCGGTTTGCGCTGCTTCCGCGGCGAACACGCGGGCTTTGGCAGGTTTTGCAGAACACAGAGCGCGCGGAGCGCTGCGCACAGCACTGCGCAAAGCGGAGCGCACAGCCCAAGATAGGTTCGGCGGGAGGTCCCACAAAAGCGACCATGAGCATGCTCACTGATTGGCCCCGGCGCACATCATGCGATTAGCTTGCGACGAAATGCGCAGGTCGCACAGGAGCGTAGTCGCCCACCAGTTCCATGGTCCATACATCCATCATCCAGCCCAGTCTCTAGCCGCAAACGACGCCGACTTGGTCCAATGGGAGCAATTTCGTGATTCGGGAAGTCGCACATCATTTCTCACGGATCAAGGGAGCTACCATGAAGTACCGAATCAGAACGCCATATGTCTACCCAGAAACTGCACTAACCGCATTCTAAACCAGCCTTGAACGGTTGTTAAGTTTGAATGCATACCACGTACAAATGACACTCCCAAGGCTCGTCTTCCCCAACTTCGCCTTCATCCTCTTCCCCACCAGCAGCGGTCTTCTGCCAAAAACGCGGCAGCCATAAGCTGAAACCCTAGATTCCTCCCCATTCGACACAACACACGAAACTCCGAAACAATTCCTGCGTTCCCTAGTTGTGTGGCAGTTTGGCTGCGCTGGCAGGTCCTTGCCGTACCTCTTAGTGCTTAGCTCAACGGCGAGGTGGATTCGGGCTCTGAGGTGGATTCTTGCATGATTGCTGCTCGAGTAGTATTTTGTTGATAAGTACCTGGTTTCTCCGGTAGATATAGCCTGCTAGTCCCGTGTCTCAACGCTGTTACTGTGTCATTATTACAACATACCTTGAAGCCCTGGCCTCGAGTGGTAGACTTCACTTACTGGTTACACTTAGCATATCTGGTCCCAATAACATTTCAGACAGTGGCAGAGAGGGGGTGGAGGGAGCCGGCGAGGCTCCTTTCGCCGTCAACTCACGCCTGACGGACGTCAGTCGCGATGTCGGCGATCGTCTGCGGTAAGCGGTCAGCGTTCGAGGAGAGCACCGTTGAGGTCTTTCATCCTGCAAGCCGGTCCGCGTTCGACGACAGCATCTACGTCGCTCTGCCGCCCGTTTCCAAGCGAGGTCGCTGGTTGCAACCGTCGTCGCCGTCGCGCTGCGCGTGGGTTGAAGACCCGGCAGGAATCAGCGTCGGAATCCGCGGAGGGTCGTTGGCGGAAAAAGTGGTGCTGCTGCGAAGCATGTTCGGCGTGGAGGAGCAGGTGAGCAGATACTTTTTTTCTTCCAGTGCTTTTATTTGTCAAGAAAAAGAGCAGATACCTGTGTTGGCTCTTATGGGTCTGTTTTCTCCTTTCACCTGTTTCGCGAATTCGCCTTTCTCGCGCTAATGTCGTCGCCTCAGCCTGACTGCAGTAACGAGCACAAAAACTCTTCTTCTCACCACCATCCCGTATTTTAAATATTTTCTCCTCGCGGTCGCGTCGCAGGTCGTTCACCAGGTGTTGGAAGCGTGCAATCACGACATCGACTCCGCCATCCAGTCGCTCAAGGGTTTGCGAATCATCGCCGCGGATAACGCCGCGCTATCACACGTTCAGCTTCAACATTCCGCTGATCCCGCCGCAGCTCGCGGTGGGTGCCTTGTTGTGTGTGCCTTTGTAAGAATGTGCACGTGGACCTCCTCGTTCGCTCTCATGTCATTGCATGTCTGCTTATTTTTCCTTATTTATTGTGCACGTTAACGACGCGAATGCCATTCTTTTGTTACTATCTCTCAGATTCCCGTTTCATTTCATCCGTTCCATTCCGTTTCAACTCATCCGTTTTATCTAATTCGTGTCATCTCTCAGTCTCGGAGCAGGCGGATCAACATTCGCCGACAACAGGCCAAGCGCAACCTCTACAGGAGCCGCTGCCAGGTCAAGCTGGTCCCGTGCCCGCATTAGAATCGACAGCCGCACCAGGAGCAGCTGCAGCAGCAGCAGGAGGTGGAGGAGGGGAAGGCGATGGGATTCCGTCGAGTGGTGCAGAGTGGGTAGAACTGGTGGTGCGGGAGATGATGTCAGCAGTGGACGTTGATGACGTCAGGCTGAAAGCAGCCATGGTTTTGGAGCAGTTTGAGAAGGAGGTGCGGAAACGATGTGAAGCCGCTGCTGCCGCCAGTGCCGCTGCCATTGTCCCGCAGGTGTGTGGGACTGTTGGCATACCTTACGAATTGTGGCATTTTGAAATCAAGACATGCATGCGTGTCCGCTGCTGCTGCTGCTGCTGCTGCTGCGACGAGTTGAAGCCACGTTCTCACACTCACAATGCTCAAGACGTCTAATGACGTCCCATCCACTCCATCCCTCCGCCATTCACTCTGCAGGTAGTCGCCAATGGCGTTTCAGCGGGGGCACACGTGGAGCACCACGTGGCAGCGCTGGTGAAGGAGAATCAGATCTTGAAGCGAGCGGTGGCGATTCAACATGAGAGGCAGCGGGAGCACGAGGCGAGGGAGGGGGAGCTTGTGCAGATGCGGCAAACGCTGGCGCAGTACCAGGACCAGATGCGGAAGCTGGAGGTGAGTTCTTAATCTCCAAAGCATCTGGCGCTGGTCAGGCTGGCACTGCCGCATCGCCAGGATCAGCCGTGGATGCTGGCGGTAAGGTCTCAAGTCTAATGCAGGTGTTATATCTGGCTGTATCTCATCCTTCTCTCCGGGGGGCTTTTTGTGACGGTTTGGGCGGGATGCGATGTCATTGTGTTTGTGGCATGATATGGCATGGTTTGGCATGGCGT